GAACTAGCACAAGAACATAATTAGAAGGAAATCTGCATTGAGATTATTAAGAAGCCATGCTTACTTTTTTTGTAACAGATTGATGTGGTCCTGATTTTGGCAGCTCTTTTAAATTCCTTAGATTTTAGTAATACCTTTAGCATACAACATGTTATATTAACATGCATAGTATTTTAGTGCATTGCTGTTAGCCGTTATTATAGGCTCTGCGTATTCTTGTATTGCTTCTATTTATTTATTTATTTATTATTATTTATTTACTTGACATGACTTGCAATGCCAGATGATGGCAGTTGCTATTTAAACTGTTTCAAGTGTTAATTTATTTGGGAAGGTAATGTGCTGAAAGAACTGTTTTAGTATTCCATTATTTAACTGTTTAATTATTTGATAACCTATTTATTTTAATTTACTATTATTTATTGTGTTGAAATGTATTGGCACAGAAAGCCTTGGCTGCATGCGGCAGCCACGTATCACATCTCTGGGCCATTGTTGTTGGCCAGTGTGATGGCAGATGTTTTAGCAACAGAAGGAATTGCAAGTTCTGAGCCCCAGCAGTGTTTGCTGCTGGAGTTTTTCCACTGCCTGGGCTTATGTCATGTTGAGCCCAGGTATGAACACTGCAAATGGTTGTTGCCTGAGAGGTCAATCACTCTTAAAGGCCTATGCCTGCAGCTGAGCCCAAGCTGCAATGGCAGCAATGGGAGCACTGGCATGGAGGCAGCGTTGAGGCGCTGTGGTTGGAAAAGTCCTGTTGCTGTTGCCATCTCTGGTGAACATGAGAGAAAAAGGGGGCCAGTAGCTGAACATAACACCTCAACAAAACTCCTTTCTTTCATGCCTGTGATCATTAGAGACCCTTTATTCAGTGACCCAACTGTAGCCAGTTCATCTCTTGCAGTGGTGTTTTCCAACAGTAACATTAAATCAGATCTGATGTGCCACAGGCAAAACCACAGGGCACAAGTAGTCATGAATCTGCAACTGAAACCAAGGCAGCTTAAATGATTTAAGAAAAACTGCAGTTTATCTGGTATTTCAGATAGCAATTGGTAACTGGCTTTATCTGTGGATGTTAAATATCTAGTCAGAGTTTTAGAATACAGATTTTTATAGTTCATTTTGAAAGTATTGCCCTACTTCTGCAACATATGTTAGATGCCTTCACAGAACCTTGGGGAAAAAATCAAGTCCTGGTTCTGTACTCCTTACAGTGTAAGTGCCCAGGTCTGGAAAGGAGTAGAAGGAAGTGTTGGAGCCTGTACATTTTTGTAAAACCACTTAAGTCCTGACTTTCAGGAGGACAAAATACTTTAAAATATCTTTGAAGATTTAGACCTTAATCCCTGATAGAGAATCACTGAAATTAAAGACAGGCTTCCATTGTGACCTTGCTTCCTTTTTTCCAGTCTTAGCAATTTTAGGTGGTAATTTAAGATATTTAGACACTGAAATGTGGGATGTATCTGGATATTTCAGAAAACTGTTGATAATCTACCTACAAGTGCTGTTAGTATTTATTAAGGTACACATCTTATTTTTGCTATAAATGCAATTTACTATGCTTTTTTTAGAAAAAGCTAATAAATACATCTGAAAACAAGAAAACTTGGTTTACTTATGATATTTGAGAATGGTTTATATCACTCTTCACCTTCCTACCAGTATATTATACACTACTTTTGAGGCAATGTCTGTAGGGTGAAGTAGTGTTACTGATTAATGCTACCAAAATCCTGACTTGTAAAGTCATGGCTTGTAAAGTGTACAGGAGAACACAGAAGAGTCATGCCTGTTAGTCGTCAGTCTCTTCTAAACCCTCTTCTGCAGCCCAAGAAAGGATTGTTTCTTCTGCAGCCTAAGAGCACACTGAAGTTCACTGGCCTCTGTGGTCAGGAGGTTTGCAACTGAAACTAGGGTGACACGTATCTTGAGGTCTTTGAGGTTTCTCTCTAATACTGTTGGTACAGTGTTCAGAATTAGGACCTTCCTATTCTTTGAATATCTGGGCTGAAACCCCAGCACCATTGAAATCAGTCATTGAAACCTCTCATAGAATCATAGAATAGCTAGGGTTGGAAAGGACCTTAAGATCATCTAGGTTCAACCCCACTGCCATGGGCAGGGACACCTCACACTAAACCATGCCACCCAAAGCCTCGTCCAACCTGGCCTTGAACACTGCCAAGGATGGAGCATTCACAGCCTCCTTGGGCAACCCATTCCAGTGCCTCACCACCCTAACAGGAAAGAACTCCTTCCTTATATCCAGCCTAAACTTCCCCTGTTTAAGTTTGAACCCATTATCCCTTGTCCTATCACTACAGTCCCTAATGAAGAGTCCCTCTCCAGCATCACCTTTGATTCAGCCATTTTCACTCCCAGAAATACTTAGGCTGAATTTACAAGTATCCTGATAAAGACTATATGAAACTATTACCTTTGGAGGAAAATGCCTTTCTGTGCCTTGATCTCACAATGTGAATTAAACCTCCCTGCAGGAAGCTTCAGTAAGGAAAGCCATTGTCTAAGATTCTTCAGAAAAATAGCAAAGCACAGCTTGAAGTTGGCTTCAGTCCTTGATTATCCATATCCTGGGCCTTATGCAGATCCAAGTGCCCCTGAGTATCTGTTCTAGAAATTGTCAGTCTCCCATATCTGGGGAACTCTCTAGATTCTATAAAAGAGTGTCAGTATCACAGCACAAATATTCACTTTGGTGCCTCCATACACTGGAGATCATTTCTGAACATATCCTATCCAGTCAAGAAAATAATAGCTGATGTGTCTGTTAATCCTTGTACTTCTGTATCTTAATTCCTGTCCTGGTTGCACTGCAAACGATCTTGAAACCTTCTCCTAAATGTCACAATGGGCAGACTCAATCAGGCTGCACAATGTAAAAAAATTGCCTCCAATACCCTTATACTGGAAAATCAAAGCTTCTTTGATATAAAATTATAGAATGATGTTTATTCCTGAGGCAACTACAGTTATTAATCATATAGACACATAATAGGTCTACTACTGGACCACTGCCGGTATCTCCTGGGAAGGGGCAGCTCCTCTAGCTTTCTATTCATACTCTTCATTCATCATGTGGGTTTAGGTTTTGCCTACCACACCTCCCTAAACCTGCACTGCACTGAGACTGACTAATTCCCTCCAGGGCTTTTTGTGGGTGATCCTCATCTTAAAGAAGGCTTTGCAAATAGTTTGCTATACTTAATGAGGCACTAATAGGTTGCAGTAAGATCTTGCTATCCTCTAAGTGCTTCACCCATTACAGATGGGTAAGCAGAGACTGCTAACAGCAAAATGGGGGGGGGGGGGGGAGGCTTATGTCTGGTTAGGGGTTCTGTGAAAGAACACAGATTTCAGGTCCAAATTCTTCACATCCACCCCTCCGTTCATGTTGACCGTCATCTTATGCCTCTTCTACTTAAGTCGTAGCTTCTCTTTTTCATAAGAGATTTTATAAAAATAGAGGTAACATTTTTAATACAGGCAAGACCAATGTGTGTCCTCTAACCTTGTTCTGAGACATGAAAAAAACTTAAAAGAAAGCTTTCCTCAAATATGTCAGTTTGACTTCAGTGTGAGAGAACTTCGAAGTGCTAAGCACCTGGAAGTTAGATCTTAAAGTACAAAATAGAGTGTGATTCAAAATCAGTCCTATTCAGAGCTCACTGTCCTTCATTCAGAACTAAGTGCTAAGCTGCTAATGCCTGTTTTGCATATATCTGCGAAGAATCAAGTCAGAAACATCAATGGTATAACACTAAGTAACTCAAGGGATTCACAAGGTAGTTGCACAGTAGTAGGTAACACAGCCTTCTAATTTACCTTAAAGAGATCAGAAGATACAAAGAAAAAGAATAAAGATCAGCTCCAGCCTTTGCAGGGAGTCTGGTGTTGGGTATTTTTACTTTCTAAAATAACACTTGAAAGCTTCAGCGGGGACCTGTCCCAGCTTGACAGCTGCAATTTTAACTAAACCCTTCTTTGATCTCTGTTAAGGTGTGCAAAATGGGAAACTCACCTTCCTTCAGGCAGATACCCAAATGTTTTGGCATGGTTTGATGCCTTAAGAAATACATAATTTGGTTCGCAAATCTTCCATTGAGCAAGACTTTAAAAGTCTGATACATTAATTGCACATGGGCGGACAACCCTAACCACCCACCCGCAACTAAATTGATGGAGCTTGTGTATTGGGTTGCGTATAAACATGCACTGGAATCACTAACAGGTCTCAATTCCCACTCGTGACTGTACCAACATCTACCTTGGCTTGTGCATTCTTCCCAGGTATACATGGGGTGTGAGAATATGTTTTTTAGCTGTTCCATGTGCCATTTTTTTCAGCACTGTTGATGTCCTCAGTGTGAGGCACTCCACACGAATGGGAACAAGCTACTGCCACCAGGGCTTTCTGGAATGCAGCAAGATAACATCCTCCCATGCAGAGTAAAGCAGGCACTTAGCTAATGACATGCTACAGCAGCATTCTTGCCATCATATTTGTGCGCCATTGAGGGCTCCAAAAATAAAAGCAATGCATCAATAATTGTGACAAATGTTCTCACTCAGAAAAATACGCACTAATATTTCATCAGATGTAACAGGCCCATTAAAGTGAATAATCGTGTTCAACAAGCAACTGCTTTTTCTTCTACATAGCAACTCAGAGAGATAAGTTGGGAAAAGACAAGATACAATAAGGAAAGTAGAAAATTACCAGAGGCCCACAGTTAACATACATGTATTCAAACAGTACATCCCAGCCAATGGAAACCAGTACAAGTCTGCTGATGAGGCCAAGATTTCACTGCCCATTTTTCAATCCAAGCAGAGTATTTACCACAGATTTCAGAATTGTTTTTAGGTAAAGAGGCCTTACTTATCCAACTCTGGGAAGCAGCTATTACCAAACAGATCTGAACACTTGTTTCCCAACAACTTTTTTTTTCTGAGGAGCTAAAATCAAACCAATGTCCTACTCTATTGTCAGTGTCTGCTCTGTCAAACCTAGAAATGTGAACTCATAAGGACAAATACAATATGCCACAAAGTCCCAAAGCAGCTGACTGCCAGCAACAGCTAACATTCACCTATGAGAATCACAGAATCAGTTCAGGTGGGAATGGACCACTGGAGGACTCTTGGTTCCCCACATCCTTGCCCCACCACCAAACCATGGTAAGAACAGATCCGTTTTTTAGTCTCTCCAGTGATGTCTCTGGGCAACCTGTTCCAATGCTTGACTGTTCTCATTGTGAAATTTGTTTTCCTCACCTCTAATTGGAATTTCTCTTACTGCAATTTGCTCTATTCCCTTGCTTCCTTTCACTGTGAACCTCCAAGAAGAGTCTGGCTCTTGCCTGCTCTGTACATCCCTGTGATGTAGCTGAAGAAAAAGTGAGACTTTGCCTTCTTTCTTTAAACTGAACAAGCCACTTTCTCAGTCTTTCCTAGTATGCTTCATCCCTCTAAACATCTTTGTGGTTCTTCACTGTATTTGATACAGTATTTCAGTATCTTTCTTGTGCTCTGGAGCCTAGAACTGTACACAGAACTCCAGATGCAGCCTGAACAGGGGGAAACAATGATTTTTTTTTCACTTGATAATTACATTCTTACTAATACAGCCTACTATGCAGAGCTGGAAATGTTCATTGTAGGGGCAAACCATTTGCTTGTGTTCAGCTTGCCCATCAAAAGAATTGCTCTATTCTCTGAGCTGAGCTGAATGTTCTCAAAGACAGCACTGTGATCTAGGTGAACCCTTGGCCTACCTGAGGATGACAGGATGACAGCTGGTTGTCAGACCAGCTCTGTATGAAGACTACCAGGGCAAACAACAAGCCTCTGCAAGTTTGGACAGAAAGATGCCTCAAATTAAGCATTTTTTCAGTCAAATGGTGACTATTACAGCTAATGTGAATTCTGCCCGTTTTTAAAGCTAGGCATATAGATACAGAGATATTTTGGTATCCTTTTAAATGGGAGGTGCAATAAATGTTTTGTGACACTACTTTTTATTGAGACTTTGCATGAGTATTACCCCATTGCACAAGGTGGAACAGACTGTTGTTTTCTGTGTATGGCATTTTAATTCTCAAAGCTTCAAGATAGCTTTTATGTTTCCAAATGCTAACATCTCCAGAACTTCAGCTGACCCCCTGTTGTGGCATGCTTATATTTAGTGTCTATTTGCACACCCTGCAGTATGTCACATATTGTCACAATATGTCACAGCTTCTCGTCAGAACCGTATCCCTCCTATGTGAATTGTCTGGGCAAGCCCTACTAAGCTTAAGGTCCACTGCTCAGAAAATGAATCTTAATTTGATTCAAAAGCCTTAATCAAACAACTTAAACATTACCAGAAAGAAAACATTCACACCACGCTTTTCTGTTATGGGTCATAGAATAAGCATAAGGAATCCTGTCAATAACAAGGTAATTTTCAAATACTGAGAAAAATCTGATCCAAAATCTACATTCCCCATTAGTTCCTTCCCACTTTCAAAATCCTCTCTTCCTTTCCACACCAATCCTCAGAAAATCTTCCTGCATCAACTCAGAAGACTGCAAACAGATGTTTATATTCTTCTGTTAGAGGAATGAGATGGATATTTAGGTTGCATCAGACACTAGACTTTGTAGCACCATATTAGGCAAGAGAATGTAACCAAAGTGGCAGATTTCCTCATACCAGTGTCAAGGAACCTGCATGTTCTGTCAAGCTGCAGTTTTATAGTTTGAAGCTATTCTCAAGAGACTTGTTTGCTCAAAACTATTCAGACAAGGAGTACCTTCTGGGTGGTTTGGGGTTTTGCTCTTGTTGCCTAACGTTGGTAATTGTCCATCAACCAGCAAACATGTCCTGAATATTCTCCAGGAGTTCATACATGCTCTGATGGGAAGCTCTTCAGGAAAGATTTGGGCTTTCCAGAACAAAAATTTCACAAAGCAGCAGAATCCAGACCAACCCTAATTTAAATTACAGCCTGTTTTCTGCCATCTCCACTTCAGAGGAATATGCACAGATGTCCAGATTAAGAATAAAGAATAACTTAAAATTAAATCTCTGAAGTAAGGGCTTATAAAGAAAAAAAATCTACAGGCCTGCAGCTCAATCCAGATCTTTGTCTATCCTGGAACTGGAACTTGATAGCATCTGGTTTGTTTTTGGTGGGTTTTTTTCCCATTAAGTGATGAGAAATTAACTGTTTATTCATCATTTATATTCTTTAGAAACAAGATTATCTATATCCCTCTTTGAATTAGTGGGGCCTAAGGTTTACTTGACCTATCACAACCTTCTCTGTAAGTGCTCTCAGTCCCTCTGTCTAAGTGAAATTAGCATGTATGACCCTAACTCCTGCATGGGGAAGAAGCCTCAGGCTATCTTGTGATGTAGGGAAGATGATGACTGAAATACTGTGAATTGTAATGATGCACAGGGATCTTTCATATTGAAACAACTTGCAAATCTACATTGCAAATTGCTAAAAAGAAGGCAATTCTGGAAGGTTCAAACCAAACTATAGGTTCAAAACTCCACATAATTTTGAAATTTATGAAAATTAAGACTCAGAGCTGAGTCTCCCGTTGTGACTGAACCCCTTGCATGTATTATAAAAGGGAGAAAATTATGCCTATTGATTAAATCACTAACATACTGGTATGTTGGATTTGTTTAAAGGATCCCACATGATATGACACCTATTGTGCTGGAAATAGCAGCAAAGGAGAAGATGGCAGGCAGAGAAATCTTCTCCTTATCTCCATGACAGCAAAGTAGGCAGCAACTCAGCAGGATGCACAACGTCTGTGAACTCCTCACTTCACTAGGCAATGCAATGCAGTGTCTTTGCTCCTTCTGTCACAAAACTTTGTTTCTGATCTCTGAACTGGTGGAACGTTAAAGGCAGAAGAACACTGAAATACTGGGGGATCTTTTGAGTTGTGTGTGAAGGTGAGAGTATTCATGTGAAACATAGACTTTTCCAAGCAGTGACTACTACCACAGAGCAGTCTGAAAGGGCTCCATTTATGGCCATAGTAACCAGCACCCCCTCTATCCACAGCTAGTGACAAGGCTCTCCAAATTTTCAAGAGATTAGGAATTACGCATTTCAGTTCTACTGGCATGAATCTTTTGAAACACACCCAGTGCAAATAATTTTTCCCCTGGGAACTATGTTCAAATCTAAGGGTCAATATGGCAATACCAGCAATAAGTAACCACCTTACTGAGTCACTCCCTGAACTCGCTAATGGAGATGGAACAGTTAATTAGGCAAGGAGCTTAACCAAAGTACAATACATCTCCTGTATCAACACAATCCATGCTGTGACACTCATCTTTGCCCTGTACTTATGACCTTCATGCTGTACAGAAGACATTCTTATTGACACTACCCATGGGCAACACCTTCTTCTAATTACCTTCTCTACAAGGGGGATTTCATCATCAGGGCTCCTGCTCTGTGCGTGTGTGTATATATATATCTGCTCTCACAGATACAGGAATACACATCTCAGATAATCTTACTGGAATACCAAGACCACAGGCTAGCTGTGAAACAAGTCAAGAACCCGTGAGTACCATGAAGATAACAGGTGCCTTTGTGCTTCTCACGCTGGCAGTTCTTTGCTTAGCAAGTGAGTAACCATTTTATTTTCTGATATATTATAGTTCTCCTGTTTAAACAATGCAAGCTTCTCAGTCTACTGGGATAAAAAACAATGGTTGGGTAGCAGAAGGCAAGCGAAATTTTATGCTTGTGCACTATTTAGCGAAGAATAGTGCACCAGCTTTACAAATTCCAACTTAAGCAGATGAAACGTATTCCTTTGATGATGGTGTGAATCAGAGCTGCATTCTACATTGCAAGTAAAAAGTGAACTGTAAAGTCTCAGAACTAAAGCAGGTTTTTACCTACTTATTTTTTTCTTCCATCTGAGCAGGGAGCTTGGAGCTGATGTGGTGCCTCTCCTACCACACTGACCAAGCAGAAGACAGTTGATTATACATTGGCCATATAATATGGCCATGAATAACCTCTTCATGATATTAGTTTGCTAGGCTGGAGACAGCTTTGAGGTGCAGGTTGCTCTGTGGTAAAATAGGGAGCTGGGAGCAAGTTCTTGAGCCTCCACTTGGCAATTTTTATTTTTTTTTATTGTTAACAAAAAAATTGGAGAAAAAAATTAGAAGAATAAGTACATTTACAATAATTGAGAGTCCAAATCTTCACTGCCAGTAGCATCACAGTTCAATGGCATTAAAGCAGCAAAACAATGAAAATGTTAAAATCAATATTATGAGCCAAAATAATCTTTTCCCATTTTGAATAGCTCTGAAAAGTTTGCTTTGAAAATTGTCTCAAAATCAAAATTCTCATGAGAAATGTCAGTTTCAATGAAATGGCATGCTTTTGATGGAAACTGTCTGTCAGTGTTTCAGTGAGTGCAGAAAAATAAATGAATATTGTTTTCTGAAGAATTCCAGCAAATCCTTTCCTTGAACTTTTTAACTTATCTGGTCTGCATTAAAAATGTATGGATCGATACTTTTTGAGCCACATCTTTTTTTGCATTCACTCCCAAATACATAGTAGCTTTTAAAAAGTTACCAGAGAAACCAGCACCTTAATATTTTATGGGAGGGGTTACATCTGATCCAATTCCAGAATAATGAAAATTCAGTCACAGTTCTGGTGACAGACTGAAGCATGACATGGAGCATTTTTTTTTGCTAGTTTTCTTTACCTTGGACAACTTTATTTGTTGGGAAGTTGTAAGCAGCTCCATGAAAGGAAGTTTCAGTGAAGGCTTAATAGCTTTAAAAATTAAAACCAGTTACACTTAGTCAGAAAGACAAATGCTAGAGCTGCATTGCCATAATATGTTTCCTTCCTGCTCCTTCTGTACAGAAGCCTCTGCCTGATCACTTTTATCCCTTGGATGCCACAGAATGACAGTTACAGGACAAAATACATTCCTAAAGAAAGCAAGTGTGTCACTGCAATGGAGACATGCCAGCGTTACTTGATGACTTTCTGGGAGGTGTACATATCATTGTGTTGAAGAAGCTTTTTGAAGTCCCACCTGAGAACAGAGCTTCATTATATCAGATGTCATGTGTATGCAAAATAGGAGCCAGTCCTTCTGCCCAATAGTTTAGAATCCATATGAACCAGCAAGGGAAAACACTTTTTAAAGTAATATTGTGATCCAAATTGCATTCTTATTATATATATCTAGTATTGTATTGCAATGAAGATACTATCCTCATTATTGACCGAAATCCAAAGCAGAAAAGGACCTTGTGATGTCCTTACAGCCACATCCAATATTTAATTTTTTTTAAGTAAACTTGGGAATTAAAACCCAGGCATGCTCTACAATTTGTTTATCCTAAACACACTGGCTATTGAACATAACATTGACTTTAAGTCTCTAATCTTTTTCTGCTGAAAAGGGGAACAATATCCCTTCTCCCCTCCCACAGCAAAGGCTGTTCTAGCTGCTGACACAGATTTCTAACGTAAGCAATACAACAAGGTCCACTTGTTTAATAGGTGCTGACACCTGCAGCTTATTAAACACTGAAAACCCAAGTATTTACTTTCAAGCTAGTAAGAGATGTAGTGTTGTTGGAAGGGCTGGTAGTGAAATCATCCTAGTTACAAACTGAATGTTCATCAACAGTGGTTTTTAATTTATCTTTTGTGATTCTGCTTGCCTTGCAGATGCTGCCAAAGAGAATGAGGTGAGTAATTTTCTCCTTTATTGCTCTATAAAAACATGTAGTTAGTAAAAACATGAGGTCAGATAAAAGCATACTAAGCATTAATTAAATGGTGTCAAAGTATTGAGATTTCAGAGAGAAATCCCTGAGTTTGACACTTGACCTGGGAACTTCCAGATGTTTTCACTTGTACTGCACAGTGGACAACAAATTGGGCAAGGCAAATTTTAAGTGAGAGAAATCAGGATTTTTTTATTATTTACCTGGTGATGACACTTTGTTTCTGGTGACTTTCACATCCTAAATCATGTACCTGGAGATTTTTATTTCTGACTATGCTGCAGTGCCCATCCTGGGGTCAATCTCTGAGAGAAATGCGGCACCAAATGATAAAAATCCTTACTCAGATGAGCAGAGACAAGTCCCCCCCCGAGTCCGGTGGACAGTAGCAGGGAATGGAAATTTGCACACACACAGAGCTGGTCCCATATTAGCACAATATATGCAGCTTCTGATGCCTAGAACTACACCAAGACATCCATTCTTTCCCAGGAAGAGCCTGTTCCACTCTCTGCATCTTCCCCATTCACCAGCTGTTACACAGATGTACATGGGGCAAATTTGCCTAGTTTCTGGCTTTTTTTATTAGCTAGTCCTTGCCTCTCACAAGTTGGCGATTGACCAGTTTTAAAATGCTGTTACAAACTACAGAGATTCCTTCCTATGCCATTGCTGGGTTATGTTGTGAGATTGTTTTTGTAATTGAGGATAGGTTCCCTGCCTCCTGCTTTACAGACAGACTTTGAAATGTGTGAGCAGTTAGGGCTTTGGAGGAGAAGGGAAAGGGCCAAGCAAAGGAAAAACCTACAAAACAACCTGTATCCTTTCCCTGCCCTCCCTCCTCCTCCCCCCCCCCGGGATTTAAGCCTATTATTCCCAAAGGAGTGATTGGGTAATGACTCTGCCACTGGAGACCTCTCAGTCTGTGCTGAGCCATGGCACAGGGCCTGGGCTGCTGACGGGGCTGATCACACACAGCTCCTCACTTCACTCACTTGCAGACCCTGGGCAATGACTACCACAAAACCAATCATATAATCTGTAATAGATTCCACGGTTTGGCTGAAGTAGTAGTCCTATGCTTCACTAAGAATTAGAATGAAGGGGGCAGAAAAAATAAACAGTACATAAGAAAAGAACAGCAACGCTGGGTTCTGTTTTAAATATATAAATCTATAATACATATTTTGGCTAGATTTTCAGAAAGTAAAAGCTGCGGACATAGTGTCCTTCCAAAGACTGATACGTTTCAAACTGTCACTAGACTAGCAGCAAAAAAAGCTCACTTTAGTTATAGCAGCAGTTATAAGGACAGGCAATTTCCTAGGCAAGCAAATCCTAGGCTTTTGAGGGTGACAAACAGCAGATTAAGTAGAATATGTGCAGCGCACAAGTACTTCTTGCTTTTCAAACACTAGAAATGAATTCACTTGACAGAAGATAAAGCTTCAAAACTAGGACAGGAGCATTTTCAGTCATTTCTTTTATTAGTTTGTACTCCCGTTTTCATATATAAGTCTGTAATGAATACAGCCCCACTATCAGATGAAGGCCTTTCAACAATTTCTTTTTATGCTAATACTTAAATAGGACTTAATTCCACCTGGGCAGATCCTTTCACCTTTCACCAGTGTAAAAAACATAAAGAGCTGATACTTGTGCAATAAGAGACAGAAACCCTTCCCACTCTTGAGAGTCACCTGAATTTACTGACAATTGCAAGCAGGTAGAAAAAAAATATTCACTCCTCTTTTCTGTAGACAGAAAAAGGGCTGTATTTTTCCAGTGACTTATACTGATAGACAGCAAAGTCTCTAAATGTGCTCAGTACCTTACATGGGTTGCATCACACACATCTCTCTCGGAAGGAACATTTATCTCTTTAGGCGTAGGCTCAGCAAATAGCTGATGGTGATGGTGGAACCCCTTGTCTGTGCTGTTCTAAAGCAGCTGTCAAATTTGTCCAAAAATTTCATATAGTCAATATTTCTGTACATAAATGAAGAATGTGAGAAAAATGGATTCAAAGAAAATTGATACTCTATTTGCAGGTAGACTGCAGTGAATACAGTCGGTTAGAGAGAGGAAGACCTATTTACTGTGAAAGACTCTATCAACCTTTCTGTGGCTCTGATGGGAAAACGTATAACAACAAGTGCTCTTTCTGCAAAGCAGTGCTGTAAGTACAATACTATGCAATTACTCCTGAATATGCCAAAAACTGAGATTAGCTCAGTTGTCTGGTGTTTCCATTCTACCTAAGTGCTTATTTTTCAGGGTAACTACTCCTCTGCTCCTTTGCTTAATCTTTATAGACTAATTGCTTCTCCCACCAATAAGGTCCAATTGCTTTAAATGAATGACCTTGATATTTGTGTGAGCAACTTCCTATTCTAGCACAATGGTAGAAGTCGGACAGTAAAGAGAAGAGTCCAGTGAACAATACAGGGCTAACAAGGCACCTGAACCCAAATCAGGTCGGCTAAGAATTCAAAAGTAGTACCAAAAATATTTTGCTTTTTATAGGTAAAATATAACTTTTTAAAAGGCAAAATGCTTACAGATCAGTGCCTTCTTGCCTCCTACAAATGTTTATAGTATCTTTTGTGTTTAGCAAATTGTTAGCTGAGGACTTCAGAGATATTTTAGTGCATAATGTTAAGCTTATTGTCTGCAATGTGTATGTCTTTGCTTCTCTTTGCAGGAAAAGCAGAGGTACCTTACAAATGAAGCAAGCAGGGGCATGCTGAATGGATTCTGCATGGTAGAGAAGAGGGCTGAGAACAGCTTTACACTGCCTTATCACAATCTCTTAATTTAATTTCTTTCATTCTGCCTGATCTGGTGATGGTGAACAAAGCACACAGCAGCTTTTTCAGCTGTGCTCTGTCATTTGCTGCTTCTCTCTGCTCCCAGGTGTTGGGATTGACACTTCTGTCCTCCCTGCAAAGCACCTCCTCAGGATTCCTGTTTCTGTAGCAAGTTGGTTTTCACATGAGCTCTATTATTCTGACAGTGCTGCCTGATCTTAGTGGACACGTCTGTGCAGGCACTGCCTCTGTTTTCCTTGTTGAAGTGTTTTCTTTCATTTACTCAAACTTTCACAGATTTTTTTTTTTTTTTTTGGCTTCAGCTTTCCCAGGTAGTGCTTTGATTCTACCAGGTTTGCAGCTAAATTTTACATGCTCATTTTTCTTCCACCTCTACAATTCTGATTCATACATGTTGTTTAGCTACTTATTCTGCATGTTTATTAAAATAAACGTTGACTTGTTTTTATTTGTCCATGGTGACTTTTTTAGAGAATGATTTTATTGCATCCATTATTCGCAAACGAGATACTTCCCAAGTTACAGAAAACAATTATAGAGCAGGAGCTAGAGGGAGAGAGAAAAAAAACAAAAAAGCCTGGAAGACAAAAGTTGTTTTCCACTAGATGGCCTCATGTTCCTGGAATTGGTCCTATAGTCTGGCTCTCTTCCTTCAAATGAAGCAAAGCTGTTAAACTGTAAGACTGTATAAACTTCATAGCAGTGTTTCTGTTAAATCCTGCATTTAAATGTCATCATTAATGATTCTGTTCACTTCTGACAAATTGGCAGCTTTTAGACCTGAAAAGAATTCTTTTCTGCTCTTACATCCTTAATATCTTCATTATTGAGCTAGTTTGTCTTTTACAATTGAATAGTCAGACAAGGAAATACGTTTCCCAGAATTAAAACTTATGAATGATTGACTTTACTGGGGTTACACATGAAAGAAATTTTGGAACTGGAATGTAGGTGTCATATGCTGTCTGATACTCAATTCTCCGGACAAGAGAGGCTCTATTTCATTTACTAGTACACACTGATGTAGCTCTAGTCTTTAGTTTGATTTATAATGTGACCTGGCTGAACTATTTTTATGGTAATTGCCTATTACACTTAGCACATATAGAACATCTGAAAGAATGATAAAGCTGAAAACAACAAAAAATGAAAAAATGAGGATTAATGAAGTGCTAGATTAAGTATGTAAATGGAGTGTTCTTGTCCAACCAAGCAAACATCATAAAAAGTAAATACTCTGCATTTCTTTGTCAAATAATTCTAAGTAATGATTGTATTTAACAAGGGACATATTTTTCCTGACTTTACAACTTCCTAACACATTGCATTTCTGGGGAAAAAAAAAGAAACCCAAACCAAAAACCCCACACACAAAAAAAGAAAAAAGGCAGTTGCTACTGAATGTTCTGTAAATCTTGGCCAAATAAATTTCTTACCATTATTATGTGCTGTTCCCTGTCACAGATGTGTCCCATGAAACCACAGATAGCAGGATAGAATCCTAGACACTGTTTTGGGGATGGAGTGGTGTTTATTCCCCACTGTGGGAGCTTCAAATTTGAAGGGACAGTGGTGCTCTTAGTACATCAAAAACCTACTCAACACTGGATCATTCAAAGGCCACTGAAACTTATAGGGTGCTACCTGTGACCTTGGCTTTAACCCTCAGCTTTCAGCAAGCATAAGCAGAAGATGCTTTGATGTTCTATTGAGGTTTTCAATTTAGAACAAGTGTTAGCCAAATGCCAGGATAAAATAGGAAAATTAAATATTGAGACTAATGATGAGGGGTAAAGAGTTTCTACACAGACTACAGCCCCCTTCTCTTTGTAACTGAAGTCAGAATTAATTAGCCTCATCACAAGTCACAGGATTGACTATTGCTCTGAATGCTGAACTACAGAAGTATGTGAGGAACATAAAGCTTGTACAATGAGGAGTATGGTCAACCTCTACATGGTACCTGGGAGACTCTGTTTCTGCCTGGTGTATTTCTCTCAGTAAACTTTATGTACAGTGTGTGTAGGGAGTAGTGGTGGAGGGGCTTGTCTTCAAGGGCCATCTTCATGAAACAGAAAAAGCAGTTTATTACAAGCAAGCTATAGTTCCCTACAGTGTCAACTTATCAATGTTGTTCCAGAAATGCTGGCAGAACAAATCACATTTACATTCTTCATCTTTGCACTTTGTTAACAAAGGCTGTTTCCATGAAGCCAAATGGTTGTTTCACAGTGACAAGAGAGCTGCAACAGACAGTAAGAGGTTTCTATCACATATATTTCTTTAATTAGTCTCTTCATCATTAATGTTGTTTGATTGTGGGAAGTTTACATTGCTATGAACTATTTTCTGATGGATATGTTGAAAACATTTTTTTCATGAGAATGTCCCAACTGCTGAAGCAAGACATCAGACTGACATATTTTCAGAAGTAATTTGTGCTCATGGTTGCTTTGGAAAGCAGACCTTCCTTCTAAACTAGCGAAGAACAGATGCAGTAAAAATCACGGATCCTGAAACTTGCCACATTCAAGCATTTTCAGATGGTGGCAATGACAGCACCACAGGCAAACAAGTGACTACCAAGCAGAACCAATGGACAATGTTTTAACATGACCCAGGAATCCACCAAATAGAGATCAACACGTATAGACTAGAGTTGAACAACCCATAAGATCTCTTGAATTTTGTTCATCTCTTCTTCTTCATTAGCCCCCACACTGACCCCTAAAAGAGAAAGGAAAGACAGTAGATAGACGACATTGCTGATAAATATATCAAATGCTGAGAAGGAATTCAAGTCAAAGAGGCTCATTTTTTGTGGAAGGTAAAATATATTAACACAAGTAAAGATGAAATGTAACAAATACTACAAATCTTAGGAACAATGAGAGGAAACCTGCAGGAGAAAAAAAGCTCAGAGAAGATTTTAAACCAGGAAGCTGGACAGCACTCGTCTGTACCTTCTTGTTGTCTTTCCAGGCTTTACTGCACAAACCAGAGTGATATAAGGAAGAAGTTCTTTACTGTGAGGATGGTGGGGCACTGGAACAGGCTGCCCAAAGAAGTGACAAATGCTTCATGCCTGGCAATGTTCAAGGCCAGGCTGGATGGAGTCTTGAGTGACCTGGTTTAGTGCAAGGTGTCCCTGCCCATGGCAGGAGTGTGAAACTAGATAATCTTAAGGTCCTTTCCAACCATAACTATTCTATTATTGTCTGTTATAATCTTTACTGATTCCTAAGGACACATCTGTCAGCTGACAAAAATCTGTAGTGAAACCCATATTGATCATACTGCTTGCTTTGTTTTCCCATGATTGCTTGGTGGAAAAGACTCCATTTATCCAGCTAAGCCGCATACTCAAGAATCCTACATGCTGTCTGAAACACTAATAAAGGGTCAGGTGCAGATGGCATAGTTGTCTCTTCTCTATGAAATAAAGTAGTTGGAAATCTTTGTAAATCTAACATAAACAAAGTCACATGGACTTTTTTTGGTGGTTTATATGGTTATCTTCCCACTCTCTTTCAACTCAGTGTAAATTTCTGTGAATAAATGACAGAGAACGCTAGGATGGTGGCGTATATTAGGAAAATACTGATGTAAACTGACATTAGAGGGTTTTCTTTTTCCATTCTTCTCTGGCCAAATATATGAACATTACATACCATTGAAGTATTTTCTAAAAATACTCTTAAAGAGTCTAGTGACATTGCTATGTCTTGGTGTTTCAGGTAAGATATCAGACTAGAAAAGCACTGCCATAAAACTCCTCCATTGGGTCACCAGACTATTCAGGTACTTCCAATGCACTTTTAGTTTCTTCTTTAGCTAGACTGCTCATATTAACATTAATTAGATATATTGCTCCTAAAGAGATGAATTGTAAATCTGTACTAAGGTAATTAGAAATTGTTGGCTAGAGCCACAAGTGCTCATGACCTCTGTCACAAGAACAGCAAGACTTAAGGGCTGTGTGCATGGGCTGGTGAAAGAGGCTCGTCAGATGGCTCTATTATCTTTTGTATTAGGACATGTATAAAGCATGAGGATGTAGGCTGGTACTGCAACTAAAGATAATTCAGTGGCAGCAGAAAAATCTGCCAGGATGAAATGCTAATGCTCATCAGCTAGAGTTGTTTCTTGTTAAAGAGACAAGCTGAGAAACTTAAGGAACCTAATTCTTCTAGCATTGAACTATAGGAATTAATGGAGGACTTTGGCAGAAAATTCTTCTCTTCATCCTAGGACATAGGCTAAAGCCACCACTATAATAACTCTGTTTATCTGGAAGTGAGGTCTCTGCAATTAGGTAGTAGGAATGAAAATGAACAAGGTAATATTGTAAATTTCTCATAGATCAAAGGCTTGTGGCTCTGAACAGTCATCCCCAAAAGATTCTCAGAACCAGTCATCTTGCTGTAAATCTGTCTTGACTGAAAAAATGAGAAAACAAAGCCAAACTCTGATGTTTACCATGATGTCAGAAAATCCGGCAGACAATTTGGGGATGATTTCTGCCTTCCAGCTTGGCTTGTTACAGCCTAAATGGGTATTGACACCATCTGTTTTAGTATGTTGAGATACTTAACTGACTGTGTCTGTGGCCCAAACCTATGATACTATGTTTCCCACGCAGCCAATGCACATCCACAAAGCCCTGTAAGTTAGAGATTTAAAACAGTCCACCATGGACCCCTGCATCTACCACAGATCCCTGGAACTTTAATTTGTTTCTGATTATTTCTGACATGGAACAGTAGATGAGAGCAGCTGAGAGCAATAATTTCCAACACAGAGTGTCTGTGCTTTTTATCATCTCCTGTAAGCATCACGTGCTGGCCCATAGCTGCAGATAATGCTGAGAAGCAGATCAGCTTTTGCCACATACCGGAACAAAGAACATGATTTGCAAATTGCTGTAAATAGCATCTGAAGAAAATGCTGAAGTGGCCAGACAATCTGGACTGTCAAGTTTGTGTGATGGAGCAATGACATAGAAATATGGGGAAGGAAAAAATGTACATAGCTTGAATAAGGGGATGAAACATGCTAAGATCCTGTTTCCTACTAAATAAAACAGAGCTAGACAGATATTGGCACTGAATGGAAAAACAGAAGACATCTCCTTGCATTTATTGAGGATTAAAGTTTTCAAAACTTTGCACTGAAAAGGTGCTCACACATCTTTGATGTAGCTATTTATATGTGGAGGAGAAGGAAGGATTTTCATAGTAAGGTGTTATGACATTTTCTTTTTCACTTTTGTGACAAGAGGTAATGAAACACAGGCCTGAAAACTAGATGAGGCGGACTGTCAAAAAAGAAAATGCCAGTGCTATAATAAAGCTACTCCACCTATCCATAAAGTCCACAGCGTATTTTCTCATATTGTTGTTACTGTTATCTTTTGATACTGTTGTTACTGTCATTGCTCTACCA